GAATGCAGAGACCATACCATGTTCTCCACAACTACATGCACTCAGAACTTCACTGAGTATATTTTATGGACTTCTTCTAAATATTGTAGGTAACAGATTCAGAGAGATGTTGTAGAGTACTTCAGTTGATGGCAAACTGGTGACAATGGTCTCCCCCAAACCCTGTAAATCCATTTAATAATGGTGGGGTTTGACTAGTTAAGTAGGTGAGGCTGTACCTCTGTGTTCCCATGGCCAATTCTGGACTTAAGCATGGTGCATAATGCAGTATTGAAATGGCCCATTTGTGGCTGTTCACTGTATGGACCAGTAAACTTGGTGCATCCTCAGGGCTTTGCCCAGTTTTTGTTTGATATGAAGTACCCTTTGAATGTTACTAAATATTTAGGGCTCTTTGCTTGGATGTTTATAAAACCATTATAAGTTTGTGAAAATAGAATGAAAGAGTTTTTGTTCTTTTATTAATGTTAATAGCCATACTCATTTAATGTCTGTAGTTAGACATTTCCAAAGAACACTGTGTGACTGCTGTTTAATTTAACTAAGACAATACCTTTATCATGACAAAGGCAAAATGACTTGAAGTTCCTTAGACAAAAAATATATATGTCACTTTTACTACTTCAAATGCACATTTATCCCTGGGTAAAGTAGTATATGACTAGCTTTGGACAAAGAAAATAGAAATCATAGCATTGTTTCAATGATTCCTTTTATTAGCAAAGTAGTGTTTTCATATAAGTCCTCAACTGATGATGTTCTCCGGGCAACCAGCAAGCATTTCGATCTCAACATTTTAAATACCTAAAGCAGAACCTTGATACCTAGAGCTCCTAGGCTCTGAGCTCTAGGAAGGACATGGTACATTCCCTTCAGCTCTACCTGAGTGGCCTTCCTGAGTAAGTCAAGGGAAAGCAAGTACATCCCTTTTAGATAATATGATGGTGTTATAAAGTGAAATAGGCAACTTTCTTTCTTTTTTTTTTTTTTAAGATTTATTTATTTATGCACACAGAACTGGGATACAGGCCAGAGGTGCAGGGGCGATGAGAGGATTCACCTGAGACAGAGTGGGGAGCAGAACAGGCAGACTGATGAAGTACACTGCTGAGGGGAGCAGCGGGGGGGTCAGGAGAGGTCTGCCACACCATATGGGTCAGGGATCAAACTCATGCTGCAGTGGCTTTAACTTCTTAGTGCTGTGCTTTAACCTGCTGCACCACCAGGGAGGGCCCAAAATAGGCAACTCTTGATATCTAAAGGGGAAATATTGTGAAAATGCTCTTACTCTTTTTTTTTTTAGTAGAATTATTATTAGTGGAATAATTAACGTATTAGTTCTGGTATGTAACATAGATATTATTAACTTTCAATAAAATAACAGTAAGGATAGGAGGCAAGCTAAAATATGTCTACTTAGAAATAGTAAAGAAATGCAATTTTGGGTGCCCAGATTTAGGCAGAAGCTTAAAACATGTCTCAAGGAGGGATCAAGGTTGGGGGTTCTTAAGGAAAAAGAAGAATGAGGTAGTGGGTGGTGAGGTAATGGATGATGTAATGGTCAGATAAAGGAGTCACAGACACTTTTATCAATCCTGTCCTTGCTGGTGATATTGCCTTGATCAAAGGTTAGATCTAGTTTAAAGACACAGTAAGGGGTTTATTTTCTTCAGTGACTTCTTCCTGCCTTATTTAAATATGGCTCCAGTGTGTTATTAGTTATCATTACTTTTCATAGTATATATCATTTGATGATCTTTGCAATAAGTCTACTTGATATCCATCACAACTACTTTTTTTTTCCTGGTGATATGATCATTTCAAATCCTCTCTCATAGCAACTTTGAAGTATAATACAGTGTTACTAACTTCAGTCACACTGTTGTACATTGTATCTCTAGGATTTTCTTATTTTGGAACTAGAAGTATGTACCTTATGACTACCTTTGCCCATTTTATCCCTCCCATGCCCTGACTTTTAGCAACCACCAATATGTTCTCTATATGTATTAACTTTTAAAAATGTCCTTATATATCATCGAGAGCACTCATTTGTCTTTCTCTTATTTCACTTAGCATAACGTCCTCAAGGTCAATCCACATTGCAGCAAATTTTCTATTTCCTCCATTTTTATGATAAAATAATATCCTAATGCATGTGGTATATGCCACATTTTCTTTATCCATTCATCCATCAGCAGACACCTGCATGTTTGCATATCTTGGCTATTATAAATAATACTTCAGTGAGCATGAATTAGTGTTCTCATTTCCTTCAGACAAATACCTAAAATTGGAGTTACTGGGTTATATTTTAAGAATGGTTTATTTTTAATATTTTAAGGAATCTTTATAATATTTCCATAGTGGGTGCACCTACAGTGCATATAGGTTTTGAAATATGGCTATTCTTAATATAGAAAATAATCTTCATTTAAGGAGGTGTGAAAGGATTTTAGGAGTAAGAATGAGCCTGAGAACAAATTGGGTGAGGACACTCAAGTTTTATCTGTGAGTGTATACTTAGAGATTCTCAGAAGGGAATAGATTTCATAGATAGAATTGTTGGAATCATTTATTCCTCTGTTGTTGGAAAAATAAATTGCTAATTTAGTCAACATCCCATTGTTTATTTCTTCTAACACATCGATAAAGAAACTGCTCCCTATCATAGAATCCAGACTCATCCCTTGCAAGGATTTTATTCAACCTGACTATTTCTGAGGTTTTGTGATAAAGTAAGCAAAGTCATCCTTTCTAGTGGAGCTCAGAACCCATAGCAGCAAGAGTTAACTTTGCCTGCTGTGTTTCCTCTTTCTAATGGGAGCACTTTAGCAATGCTAATCAGGTGTACTGATTTTCTGTTTTGATTTTTCCATAATAATTAAGTGAATGATATGAAATGCAATCAAGTTTGGCACTAGGGGGTTCATGCAAATGACTTCTTTTTTTTACATTTAAAATTTTGTTAAATGGAACCTTAAGGAAAATTATTTGAAGAGGACTTCTGGTGGGGTGGGGGTAGTTTAACCCCCAATTTAGAGATTTGAATATATTCAAAATGTCAATTTTAATGTGGCAAATCACCACTATAGCTTTTCAAATGAAATAATGCTATTTTTAAAAATTGCATTTTGTTTTCACATATACTCTAAAGTGGCAGATTATAGTCTAAGACTAGATGACACAATTTAAAGCAGAGAAATCAAGAAGAAAAATATATTGAGCTTTCTGCCCTCTGGGTGGAAGAAGCAAAAAAGGTACTAATATCTACTCATCAAAACCTACAGAAGAAACCAATAAAATTGTGAAAATGTACATGTTGTATCCTATGCACCTATTTGGATTGCCTTTATAGAACAAAAGGAAGGACAGTATGTATTTCTGAATATATTAAAATGTTGCTTTTCTGTAGTACCTTATAACTGATGACATATTTTTGAAATATCTTCTCCCCCTACGATATATAACACCAATGCCACACAACTTCTCAATGCAGTTTGATTTTTCTGCATGCCAAATTTCAAAAGCAATAAGAAAATAACCACATTCCTGTTTTTTAAAAAAAATTTCCTTACAATGTGCATAGAGAGGTTAAGTCTTAACAGGCAAAGCAACAGTACAAAACAAGAAAGAATACCAGAAGACTAGTGTTAAATTATTTATATTAAAAAGAATACACAACTGCTTTCTATTTCTCAGCAGTTTGATTCATTGCTTATAGCAACTTCTTTATTTTTAAATTTATTTATGCATACAGAACTGGAGTACAGGCTAGATGTGCAGGGGCAGTGAGGGGATTCACCAGAGACAGAGTAGGGAGTAGAACAGGTAGAATGACAAAGTACACAGCTGAGGGGAGCAGCAGACGGGGTCAGGAGAGGTCTGCTGGGCCATATGGATCACCTGTGAGGCTGGGATCGAACTCATGCTGAAGTGGCTTTAGCTTCTTAGTGCTGTACTTTAACTGGCTGCGCCACTAGGGAAGACCCTTTACTTTCTACTGTCACTATGTACCCTGTACTACATCACCATTATTTTGGGATGAAGTTCATATAACTTTCAATGGCTTGTAAAACTCGTTATGATATGCTCCCTACCTCTTTCTCCAACTGAATTAATTTGAGCTCCCTAAATGTTCTCACCCTCCCTCATTTCTGGTTCCCTCTGCCTCTTCTGTCTTTTATTTCCTTTGCCCACCCACTTGTTTTCCAGGCTTCTGAATATATCAATTTTTCCATTATGGTTTTTATTCTCAATAATACCAGGTTCATTTCCTCTAACCCTAACCTTCCAAAAGTTTTACACTAGTTTCTATACACCTGTGCAGAAACACCAATAAGATAGCTGGTTTCATTTCTATTCAGCAGATGAGAGAAACAAAAACTAGTAGTAATAAGGAATATGTCATTATTGCTAAATTATGAGCATCTTAATGGGAAGGGACAGGAACTAGCTCGGTATTTTTTATCCAATTTTTGCATGGTGCCCAGGATAGAGTGGGCATTCAGTGAGCACTGAATGAATTATTGAATGAATCTCAGTTTGAACCTAAGGTGCCTCTTGCTTGAGTCAATGGAGCCTCTGTTTCATCATTTATCCTCTCAGACAAATGAGGCCAGATTCCTCTGTGAGCCTTCTTCTTCCAGAAGGGAAATATGCCTGGTGAGAGAATCTGGAAGCCTGTATTGCTCTGAGTTGTTCGGGTAGATTCCTTTAATGTTGGCTGGCATGGATGAGAAGGGCTTTTGTTGTGGCAGCAATTAATGATGATTTGCACATTTTAGTAATTTACAAAATGTGGCCACCCTGCACAACATAAGAAATACCTCTCTCTCCTGGACCATGAAATCTGGTGCTACATCTATTTAAATACATGACTTGTTATGCATGTTTCAGCCTTAGTGACAACTGGTACCAAGTGGTTGCTGGATTGAATAGAATTCTGTCTCGGTCATTTTAATGCATCTATAATGTGGATTTCTTTCCTCCCCTTGTAGGTTGCTCTTCAGGAGAAAAAATGGTTATTTCTTTGAACTCATGCCTGGGCTTTATCTGTTTACTGTTCTTCCACTGGATCAGAACAACATCACCCTTGAATCTTGAAGATCCTAATGTGTGTAGCCACTGGGAAAGGTAATCATTTTTAAAATAATCTGAGAAATAATTTCTGATAAGTTCCTTAATACGCTATCACTATTGGTCTGATGTATAAAATTAGAATTTGAGAGGAGATTGTGGAATTACTTTTATGTAAAAGTCATTACTTTTATGTAATAAATTGGATAGTTATTGTTCACTTTGGTCTGATAGAATATTATATGAAAAAATGATGTATTGCTTCTAACACAGGTGCAGTTGTAAAGTTCAGAGAAAACATTAATAGCAGAACTAAAGTATTTCAGAGAAATGCCTTCTTTTTGTTCAGAATTGATTTGTAATAATCAACTGGACTTCTACAAGGGAACCCGTAGGTGAAAAGTGGAAGCCAGAATGGAATAACGTACTAAAGTGTTGCGATGTATGGCTTTAAAAAAAATGTCCTGGTGATGGCCTGGAAAAGGAGACATAATTTCTGGAGGAACTAGCAAGACTATGTGGAGGAAATGTCATTTGAGGTGTTCTCAATGAATGGCATAATATGAGTGAATGACGGTGATTGTGGAAGGTTCTAGGAATGGAAGGCAACTTGACACCAGTGACCCCCTGACCATGAAGGGCATGCTCATCCAGACAGTGCAGTACAGTCTGGGAGGAGGGCAGGATTGACTGGATTCTATGAAAGCAGACAATGAAATGTCCGAATATGGATAATTTGTATGGGAAATACAGAGGAAATATACTATAATGGGTCATTCTCATGGGTGTCATAGTAACTATTATAACACAAGTTAGCACAAACTTTGCAGTAATATTGCAGTATAATAAAATGCAGTGTACACTGCTTTAATGTGCAACTTACATTCTGTAGTAAGTATTTTTATTCCAAAAATAACATTGCCAACCAAGTTTTTCAAATAAATGGAAGTTGTCAAGTACTGGAGAGTAAAATGTATTTTTATTAGCTGTAAGTGCAGTTATATCAAACGCTGTTTGTTTATTTTTCCTATCATCCTCAGAATCACAAGTAGTATATCAGAGTATACATTTTAATCACTGTTGTCACCCAATGGTTAAAAGAAAAAGAAAGCTCAAGAGTCTTTCAAGCACAGCAACTCTATTATCCAGGAAAACACTGGTCCTTCACACCCTGTGCTATTTTTAGTGATGCCTCATACCCACCCTCCCTGGTAGTATTATGATCAGAGTAACAAAAACATATTTCCCTAATCAATCAATGGGCTATATATCATTATGAAACTTTCAGCTGTAGATGATCTATGTGTCTATAATAAAGTTCGCTACACTTTGTTATTAAATATACAGAATTTAAGTAGAAAGGTCCTCCTATTTTTAATCTTCACAGCACCTCCTATAAAACATTACACCATCAAATTAAAGAATAAATATTTATTAAAGTAATAAAAATGAATCAACAAGTACATTAATGAGTTCATATTAAATTTAAAAAAGGGGCAGGCTATTGGTTGAATTTCTTGGAGGATGATAGCTTTGGCATGGGAGAAAAAAATCAAATTTGTAAGCTTCTGTGAAATAAGATTCAAAACCTCTTGGTGATGCATTTAAGGTAGAATGTGAAAGAGGCAAAAAATTGCTAAGAATTAGAAATTGCAGTCTAAAAAAGGTGAAGATGACATTGCACATAGGGAGAAATGAAAGGAAAAAGATTTGAGAAAGAAAAAATTAATGTAGTTTTGTCATATTGTTTATACAATGTATTTGAATGTTTAAGAAAATAAAATTGGGAATCCTTAACATGATGAGATGTGACAAGTTGAACACTATGAGGGAATGGCTATAAAGAGAAACAAATCCAATAATTCAAATAATTTAGCATCTACCCATTTTGTTCTGTTCCTTGTTTAGCATTTGACCAAACTCGCCAGCACATAATCACCTTGCTTTGTTCACCACTTATAATACCCACTTTCTAAAACACTGCCTTGATATGGTATATGCTCAATAAATAATTGTTGCATGAATAATCTCATCTTCTCATAGGAAATGAAATGACTTAATGTGGTCATGAGTAGGGAGGCTGCAGTGGAGGAAGAGAGAGAGAGAGAGACAAGGGACACATTAACAACCTGTAATATGATTCCATCGTTGCACAAATGGTTATAGTAACTTCTAAAATATTCAGTATTGGGGAAGGAAATTGAGCATGAAAACACAGAAAAATGCTGGAGATTTTTTTTTCTGACTATAATTTTCCTATGAACTGCTTGAAGAAAGATTGACAGCTATGATCTTGATAAATTTCCTTTATGAGGCCCGGTAACGATTCTTTAAGATAAGTAAAAGAATGGAATAGTTTTGACAAAATGGAGAAAGGAGTATAATTAAAATGATCAAATAAAGGTACAAGCAACAGGTTCTCCTGTACTTTCAAAAACTGAAATGCGGGTCCCTCCCTGGTGGCCCAATGAGTTAAAATGCAGCAATATGAAACCAGCCATAGCGCTTCCCAGAATTCGATCCGCTGCCAGGGAGGTGACCCACATGACTCAGCAGACCTCTCCTGTCTGGCCTGCGGCTCCCCTTAGTAGCATACTTCATCAATTGCCTGTTCTGCTCCCTACTCTGACTCTGGTGAATCCTTTCACTGCCCCTGCAGTGACCCCAGTTCTGTACCCATAAGTAAATCAATCTTTAAAAAAATTTTGAAACGGGCTTACGTTGAAACTGGGAAAGGGCGATTCGCTCCAAGGACAAAACTCCTGGTGGCTGGGCTGACTAGACCTCATTGTAGGCTTTCCTTGTGCTAAAGCCCATATGGACCGTGTTCTAAGGTATGGGATCTTCGTGGAGCCTTGTTTCTCAGAATGTGGGTAGTGGAGCTGCGTGAATTTTTTAATCTTCAAATGAAAGTATGCTTCATTTTTATGCAGCAATTGTGATTCTTAGAAACTGTGCATAAAGGAAAATGAAGCCATCGAAAATACACAAGAGATGCTTCTTATCAAAGAAATTCCTCACAATATTCTTTTGGAAAGTGAATATTTCCATACATTATCTGTTGTCTCTCCTCATGCCCTTTCCTTATTCTGTGAGTTCAAGTAGGTCCATTTAGTGGGGGTTTCTTCTAAAGAAGGGTACATGAAGAGGATTCATTCTCTGCCCAACCTCCTGAGGGAGTACCACAGAAGTGGTAGTAATTGAAGCAGCATTCCTGAAGTGAGCAGAGATTTAAAAAAAAAAAAAAAAAGAAAAGAAGATGTTTATTAACATATCTGATTAAAGTAACAAGATTATTTAGGCAGATAAAATGTAATTAACCACTTTGGAATATGCCCCAAGTGATGACTCTTTCTCTTCCCCTCTCTCCCCTCCCTTTGACCTTAAATTAAATCTTGTTGGAGTTCCTCCCTGGATAATTCTTAATAAGTTAAAATCACAGTGATGACATTTTTCAGTGTGTTTGAGAAGAATAAACAAACAAGCAAGAGAGAAAGAGTGTTGCATTGCAGTTGGGATCCAATTACTTTTATATCAGTTTGCAACTCACTGTTACCTTTAGAAGCCTGTGAATGTTCCAATAACCTATGAGAAGGCACAAAGGGGCAGAGAAGTGTCTGGGGGAGGTCCTAGTGTTAGTGCTGTCTCTAGACTGACCACTGACACTAGGAGCTCTGTGTTACCTTTTTGTGTTAAAAAGTGGTCGGAGAGGCCCTTCCTGGTGGCACAGCAGGTTAAAGAACAGCACTATGAAGCTGTCTACAGTCACCGCAGCACAAATTTGGTCCCCAGCCAGGGAGGTGACCCATATGGTACAGCAGATCTCTCATGTCTGGCCTGCTGCTCCCCTCAGCAGTGTATTTAGTCGATTTGCCTGTTCTGCTTCCCACTCTGTCTCTGGTGAATCCTTTCACCTACATACAGTACCTCTGGACCTTGGCCTATACCCGTTTTTGTATGCATAAATAAATAAATAAATCTTAAAAAATAAATAGGGGGGAGGCATTGGACTAGATAATTGAGAAGTTTCCTTTTCACCTTGTGATTTTATGCTGATGAATGTGGAGGCATAAACTTTTAACAGATAAACTATTTAAATAGCTATCCAGCGGAAATAGTGGTAAAGAAATACTGAAATCTGGTTCATTCCTGAAAACTTTCCCTTCAATGATGCAAACACAGTTTTTAGAAGGTTTGTTTGAAACATGACAACTTATTTGTCTAACAATAAGAGATGGCTATTCAACAAATTAGGTGTAATCATTTCTAGAATATTTGGCAGTCATAATTTGAAGACTGTTTACTAATGTGGGAACATGATTATGATACAGTCTTAGGTTAAAAAGTAATTTTCAAAATTAGGTGCATTGTATAATTTCAAAACCAACAACAACAAAATAAACTAAATCTAAAAACCCCTAGTCTATGAAGTTTATCTTAGCTAAATAGTATTGATGGTTATGTAAGACTTATGGGATTTTCTGTTTCTTTAAAATTGTTTTCCAAATTTTGTAGTTTGATTGTAACACCACTTAAAATGAAACAAAAATTGTATAGAAAAGAAAAAGAATATATAAAAAAAGAACAGAAAGGACACTTGGGGTGAATAAATCATTTACAAGTCTTTTTCTTGCAAACTTATGTGGAAGCCTCAGTTTCTCACATTACTAAATATAGAGGGGTGCAGCATTATTTCTCCATTCAATTTCTAGTAGAAGAAATGCAAATGAATCATCTTTTGGGTAGGAAACTGCTGCACAGGCACAGTGTTGCATGTGCAAAACGGAACAGCTTTCCACATAGGAAATGCTAGATAAATGAAAAAGAATTACTCTAAGTTGGTACTGATTGGGCAAAAATTAAAAACTTCTCATCACAAGAAAAAAAATTGTGCCTATGTGTGATGATGGCTACTAGACTTTTTGTGTTGATCACTTCACAGTACATGCAAATATTCAATCACATACATTATATATACCTGAATCTAATATAAAATTATATGTCAATTATTCTTCACAATAAGTAAATAAATGTGCAGTAGAAATTCATACCTTCTCCAGTTGATAGTTCCTACTAATGGTTGGGCTATTAGTTTGCAGCATGTGAAGTCAGATGTTGACTTATTTATCTTGTTAGTGTGAATTAAAGATTTTGGTAAACATCTTAAGAGATTAAGAAAAATAGAGTAAGTTGCTTGGAAAAGAGTGCTAGCCAAAAACAAGATGGAAAAGGAACTTTGGAAGAAATATGTAGCCTTTATTGCAAGCAGTTTGCAAGCTAGGGGACAGAGTTTTTAGGTAAAACTTGAAAGTGCCCTCTTGTTGTGGGCAAGTTTATAAAGGCAAAAAACAAAGAATATATGGTATTTGAATCTAAACCACAAAGTTGGTTCCTACCATGTATGTAGCTGAAGAATCTATGCAGAATCTGAGAAGACACCTGAAGAGTTTGGCAACATTCTGAGAACTCTGGATATGAGCTGAGCCTCAAATCCTGGCACAGCCACCTGTTACTTAATTTGGGGTCCATCAATTTGAGTTCATTTTCAGAGTTATTCTGCTTACAGGGGGTCTTCTCTCAGCATTTTGGTTGTCAGAGGATTCTCCAGACTTTTCTGTAGGTCATAACTCTTGAGCATGTACTAGATGTCTTAGAAGATGTGTAGGACTAAACATTGAATGATCTTTATATTTCATGGATATTTTTCACTCATGCTCTTAGACCCTTAGTGTTTCATGCTTTTATTTAACAAGAAGCTGTTAGTGAAATGTTTTGGAAAACAGTCTAAGGAGTAGCATGCTGTTGGTATGATGATTTCAGTCTAATTGTCTCAGCAACATGTATATAAAATCAGGTTAGGAGATTTCATAGTAGTTTTTACTTAGAGGATGAGTGTATTCTTTATTGACCTAGAAGTAGGACAGGTTGATGAAAGACAATAGTTCCAAGTTCCAAAGAGAAAAAATAAGCTCTTTCTGAATTTTCAGAATCAGTTGCAACATGCACTGTTATGAATACTCAAATTGTCTTGTCACTCATTAATTTTATGTTCTACATTGAAAACTTCTTGTTAAAGGTTTTAGTTATTCTGGAATCCTTGAGGGGAGGGGATGAAATTAAATACAAAGAAACATATGGTGATATGGTTTTAAATTTATGGCTATCAGAGATTTATAGTGAACAGTAAAAAAGAGAACTTTCAAAAATGCATTGCACGATTGCTTGTGTTTTAAAAAATATAATTAATATTGCTCCTTTTTGGGTTTTTAGCTCAAATGAAAACCTGTAAAACCATGGGGATTCTCTGTAAAAATTCACCAAGGAGTTATAAATAGAGATAATTTAGCTACTTTTTTTTTTTGTAGATTATATTTCTTCTGAGTTTGAAAGGAATACTGATACCTTATCTTTCCTCTTCTTTGCAGCTACTCAGTGACTGTGCAAGAGTCATACCCACATCCTTTTGATCAAATTTACTACACAAGCTGTACTGACATTTTGAACTGGTTTAAATGCACACGGCACAGGTAATGGAAGCTCACATATATATATATATATATATATATATATGAGTTTTGCTAACTGGGATTGGATTCTATTAGTGATATGAAATACTTGAGAAGTATATGTTTTCACCTAGTGAATTGTTAAGGCTTGCTGTTGTCCCAGCCTTGTTCCAAATCACAGCAAAAAGATCGCCTGTGCCTTTAAGGAGACTGCAGATAAAATATTTACTAATTGCTATCTATTAAAAATAATACAACTTTTGTACTGTGCACGATTGGGGGAGACATTCTTAAATATTGGCATCACCATATGTTAAGAAACTCATGTCCTGTGTAAGCTTGTAGATGAACACCTGACTCAACTTGGGCTAATTTAAATTGGATCTCAACTGAAATAAAATAAGCCACATATTTTTTTCTATTAATGTAACAACAGGAAGTAGGGTCCTCCCTGATGGCCTAGTGGTTAAGGCTCGTGCTACCACTGCACAGTCCATGTAATGGCCTGAGTTCAGTCCCCAGAGCTAACTCACACATGGCACAGCAGACCTCTCCTGTTTTGCCTATTGCTCCCCTTAGCAGTGTCTTTCAGTAGATTTTTCTGTTCTGCTTCCTATATCTCTACCCTACACCCCAGTTCATCTTCTCAAAAAAATAAAATCTTTCTTAAAAATGTGAAAGCAGAAAATAAAAACAGATTATTAAATGTTGATAATAGGAAGGAAACCTTGATACCTTAGTTTTTTCATAGAATAGTTATAGTAGTATGAGTCATGGGTAAAGTGTCAGTTAGGACTGCATTTAATGATATTCAGCTTAACATCATTTTTTATATACAAGATTTCCTTGACCTCTCTGTGTAAACTATTATAGATTCCCTTTCTGTCACTCTCTATTCCTTCATTCAGACTTTATTTTTCCTCACAGCATTTAATCGTTGCATTAATAAGTAAAAGTATATGCCAAAAAATCCAGGTAAATTTGTTACATATTAAATAATATTAAATATGCATATACCTTGTTTAATATGTATCTTAATTATATCACATAGAAATTCTTCTTCAGTAAAATGTAAGTTTCTTGGAGGCAAGGGCTTTTTGTTCCTTTTCTCACTATGAGCTATTTTCCCCCATGCCTAGAATAGTGCCTGGAATATAGTAAGTACTCAATAGACATGCATTAAATGAATTGGGGAGTGAATGAAACTTTAGTTAAATGCAAAGTTCTTTCGTCTGTTAACTTTCTGTTTTCTAATGGGGTGCTACTGCATTGACATCAATTTTTAAAGAAATTTGCTGAATTTTTCCTTTAAAACCACTAAGTGAAAGATGACTAGGTAAGTATTATATATGAAGTTGATCTCTACTTTTCAAGGTATTTTAAGTTAAGTAGTGAAGTAATGGAAATTCTTCTTCCTTGAAATGACATATATCTGGGTTTAAAGGCAATCTTAATATATCCTTAATAAATTAATTAATAAACCATTTCTTAGCAAATTGATAAGAACATTATAGTGGTCAAAACATACAGTCTATGCTGGTTCTTATTTATTTTGGAGTACTTTGCTTTTCATATCTTTATTATATTTAATAATTCTTTTATATTAAAATATAAAGCCTGATTTCTAATCAATTTGCAGGTGAAAGATTAACAAATATGATTTTCCCCTCTCTCTAGAATCAGTTATCGAACTGCCTATCGACATGGAGAAAAAACTATGTACAGGCGCAAATCTCAATGTTGTCCTGGATTTTATGAAAGCAGAGAAATGTGTGTCCGTAAGTAAGACTTTCATCCCTTTGAGGTTCACTTATTTTTCCCAGTGCTGGTCTGCATCTGTTAACGATAACTGACATGGAGGCCTGGGGGAAGGCCTGGGAAGATGAGGCCTGCTGGATGGTTCCCTTTCAATCTCAGCTGCTACTTTCTTGCCCTGTGTAATGAGGGAAGCATAAATCTATACCTCTGTCCCATAGAAAGTCTCTAAATATATGTCACTTGAGAAAACACAGATGTTACAGAAAGATGATTCAAGGCCGGATGTAACAATGTCAATTACATTTCTTCAATAAATGTCTCTTTGGAAATTGGGCAGGGAGTCATTATTAGGTCACAACAGAGAATAGACATAACTCTCCTGCAGCAGCTGACCAATATCCCAAGTCAACTTCTGAGAGGCCGGCTTGTTCTTTCGTGCACAGACTGATGAGGCTTGTCCAAAGCACAAGAGGTTGCATAATAAGAAAGGACAGTGTAGGTCGCAAAATAGACCTTTTTGCATTGTTATTTTCTCTCTCTCCTCATTTCATCAGTTCGTTCTGAAGTATCTTTTTTATTTTAGATCCTATTTACTTATTTTTTGCATAGAAGAACTAGGGTATAGGCCAGAGGTGTGGGGGTGAGTGGGTTCACCAGACAGAGTGGGGAGCAGAACAGGCGTATTTACTGAAACACACTGCGGAGGGGAGCAGCAGGCAGGTCAGGCGAGGTCTGCTGTGCCATGTGCCATCTCTGCCCAGGTATTGAACTCAGGCTAGAGTAGTGAGCTTGAGATTTAACCCTAGGCCACCAGAGAGGCCCATTCTAAGGTATCTTGAGAAAATTAATATTACATTACACATTTTAGAAAATCCTAAAATAGCATGTGGATTGTATTTTGTCGTTGAAATTTCTTACTACTGTGTATAGGACACTTAGCAAAGAGATTACTAAAGACAACTTATTAAAATACTTGGACCCACACAGCTAGAGAGGTACTTTTACTTTCTTAACCACAACAGTTACATTGAGCAGCATAGAGAGAAAAAGTTTTTGCTGTGAATTGCAATCACTAGGAATAGATTGGTCACATCTGGGCTTAAGACTCTGCAAAGTTGGGCAGTAGCCACTCATCTGGGTAGATGTACATATCCATTGGTACCTCTTTGCTTTTCATTTGTTGAGAGGACTTTGGATATGAGTGATCTTCCATCCAATCCCTGGATTCTATTCTTTGTGGAGACAGGCGACTCCTCAACTTTAAGTCAAAACCAGGGATGCACGTATGCCCTACACGTATGCCTAATAATTGTTCATTAAAAATAATTAGAAGGGGCCCTCCCTAGTGGCACAATGGGTTAAAGCGCAGCACTTTGAAGCCATTTGCAGCATGAGTTTGATCCCCAGCCAGGGAGGTGACTCATGTGGTGCAGCAGATCTCTCCTGACCCGCCCACTGCCCCCTCAGCAGTGTATTTCAGTCGATCTGCCTGTACTGCTTTCCACTCGATCTCTGGTGAAACCTTTCACCCTCACCCCTGCACCTCTCGCCTATAGCCCAGTTCTTGTATTCATAAATAAATAAATCTTTAAAAAAGTTAGAAGATGCTTCTATGGTGGTCTAGGGGTTAAAGTCTCAACTACAGCCTAAGTTTAATCCCTGGTCAGTAGGTGAACCCACATATAATGCAGCAGAACTCTCCTGTCTCACTGCTCACCTTAGCAGTGTATTTCAGTAAATCTGCCTGCTCTACTCTCCACTTTGTCTCTGATGACTTTTCTCACCTCCTACCTCCACACTGCTGGCCTATACCCCGGTTCTTCTACATAAAAATAAATAAATTAGAAAATATAACTGAGTAAAAGGAAGGAAATAAAAATACACTGGTTATATATTTCCTGGTCAGTAAATTTATTTCTGTAACATATTGCAAATATCAGTATAGGTATTTATTTCATCAGTATCATCTCTTGAAAATTTGCATGATTCCAACTTTTATCTATAATGAACTGCTCTAGAGGTTAAATCTTTGTTCATATCTTTCATTTATAGGTAAGGATAAATTCTTAGAAGCAGAATTGCTGGTTCAGAGATACATACATATCTGTAAGACGTTGGGTGTTTCTAGTTTATACCCCCGCCATCACTAAGGAGTCTGCCTTTTCTTTTGGATCCTGTACCTACTTTCCCCTTTGCTAATTTCTTTATAATTTGCATGTTCTTGATTAATAATAATGATGCTGAATAAGAAAAATTACATGTTTATAATCAAACATCTTAGAGAACAATTAGGAACTGATCTCTGGCTCAGCTGTTGGGAAATTTTCAAAGGAAAGCACTGGACATACAGAGGGAAGAGTGGGTAAGCCTAGTTGGCCCTGCTGGCCACTCCCCAAAGGCCTCTGGATGACTTTTTTTTTTAGTGCTCTTGCCAAGAGTCAACCTGATGAGCACAATTTTTAATACACTGAGAAATAGTTCTATCTTCTAGGATTCATTCCTATTAAGTCAAATCCCAGGAATTCAATAAAACAAAGATGCCAATTCATTAATTTACACAGAGCTAGAAGAAGATGACTTCTCTGTACCTTCTTTCTGTTATCGGGAAAGGTGAGAGCCATCTCAGTGTTATAGGGCAGGGTAAAGGGCAACTTGGAACTCCCAAATCTGCCAGCTCTTAATAGCTTCTGCCATCTGCCACATCAAGACAAACCATAAACTAGTGTGTAAGAACTTTCAATAGAAAGTAACTTTAATACAATTACTATTTCAACATCTCCTTACATGTTCTCCAAGTCTCTGGTTCAAGCCCACGGCCAAGAATTAAGTGCAACTTCTTCACATGTCTCTCTGCTCCGGGTGCCTCCTCCAGGTCTTTTTCCTGATTTCCTTCCTTCCTTTCTCCAATCTTTTCCTTCCTTGTTCAGCTCCACTCTTCCTTGGGTAGAGCAGAGAATGTGGCATCTCCCCTTTCAGTGGGGATTACCCTGTTACATCTTCTTGAGGGCCTGGAATGTAGGGAGGTAGATTTTACTGACAAGATGATGTAGAGAACAGGGATTCAAGCCAGGTCATTTAGAGAATTCTGTGGTCCCAGTCTTCCTTTCATAGGCCAGTGCTTTTGTCATTTTATTCAGTAGCACAGCCCCCCTCAGAAAGCTGAACAATTTTGTTAGCACTTTCATGGCTGAAAGCTACAATCATAAAAATAGACGCCCCCCCTTTTTTTTTAATCTCACAACAGACAGGCTTAAGGTGTTTCCTGGACTGCTTAGACACCCCTAGCATTTGGCCCTAAAATCCTTCTTTGTGTAAGCCTCCTTGACCTTAGTCACTCCTGGAGAATAAAACATTTTTCTTTCAGATATGTTAATATATTTAATCAGCTTACTGTCTACTGCCATGGTCCTGAGCTGTCTTTTTAAGAGTATTTTGCATCTTTCCACTCTGATGTCTTGATTTTATAGCTTAACCTCAGAGGACAATCACACTCTCCTTACTTCCTTGTTCTTGGGACTGCCTCAAGAAAATGTTCTGTGCTCTTCACAGCTGGCACTAGTGAGGCACCCTTGTGGATACGGAAGGAAGAAAGAACACATGATTCTTGGCTCTGCTTTCATAATCTCTTCTTGAATGAGCTTATGCTGCTGGGCACATAGGACAGTCACTATTTTTGAACTGTTTAACTTTTTCCAGTTACCAAAAGGAATTGACTATCAGAATCAGTCACAGTTTTAATTTTCGGTATTCATTTCACCTAAGAAAGCAAAAATGGAAGGTTATTGGTATGCCAATAACTGGAACAATTTTATTTTAGATAGTTCTCTTTCTGGAAAGCAAATCCCATTCTTCCATCCTTCCCTACTCCTACTTGAGCCTGTGAATAGTAGGCATTTCTGCTAAGCTCTCAGGTTATGCAGAAGCTACGGGTCCACAGAGCATACTTTGAGTAAAAAGATTCCGTGACCAGAAGACAGATGTATATCATCTGGCAGGAAGGACAATAATGAAGAATATAGGGAATAAGGGGGTTAGAATCCTTTCTTAAGATTCTGGTTGGGGGCCCTCTTTGGTGACACAATGGGTTGGAGCGCTGCACTGTGAAGCTCAGCCAAGCCAAGGCCACTTCAGTGCCAGTTGGATCCCAGACCTTCAGGTGATCCACAGGGCACAGTGACCTCTCTTGTCTCACCCGCTGCTCCCGCACCAATGTACTTTGGTGATCTGCCTGTTCTGCTTCCCACTGTTTCTGGTGAGTCCTCTCCCTGCCCCAGCACCTCTGGCCTATACCCCATTTCTGTATGCATAAATAAATAAAATCTTTTTTCTTTTTAAAGAATATGTTTGGAAACAAAAAGGAATGGATTGGAAAATGTATAAAAATTATTCCTAGGATATGAAGTTGTCTCTGATACCTTGATAAAGTTATTTTTATGTTTGTGTGTGTGTGTGTGTGTTTTTTAATTTTTTGCAAAATTGGTTTACAAAGTACGTGATTTAGAAGCGCAGGACCAGACCTTCTCAGATGCATGCCCTCACACATACCGACCACCAAGGCACCCGGAGTCCTCCACCATAATTCGCTGTGGCCCCATCCTCACTAATTTCCCCCTTCTTGACTCCACAGTGTTCTATGGTTTGTTACTGATTGGGTTTTACCTGCTGCTTAGTTGTTTGTTTCTCTATATTCCACATGTAAGTGAAACCATCTAATGTTTGTCTTTCCCTTCTGACTGCCTTTAGCATTATCTCCTCTAGTTTCTCATGTCACAGATGGCAAAAGTTCTCCTTGATGAAGTTTTAACTTGTTCATAAAATTAATTAAGTTTTAAGTTTGTACTTCCTTCAGGGTTACTCTTCTTGCCAAATTTTGTGTTTCATATTTTTGATTTGGAGAAAATAAATATTAACGAAGAAATGCTCACAGGAATAAAGTAGCTTTAATAGTGGTTTTAATGTGCTTAGTTATTTCTTAAACTAAATCCACTTTATAGATGCTTTACTTGTCAGTCTTAACAGA